TACATCAAGGCGGGCAAGAGGAAGTCCCAGGCGTGGAAGCAGCTCTGGGAGATGTACGCCAACACGAAAATGGTAGACGGCCATGCTGGGGGAGTGGCCGCCCAAGGAGGAGGAGAGAAAAGGAAGCGGAGGGAGCGAGGAGCAGGTTGGAGGGAGAGGAGAGGAAAGGGAGAGGGTACGAGAAACAGAAGGAGGAGGGCGAGGAGGAGGAGGAGTGGAAGAGCAGGAGGAGGAGGAGGAGGACCAGAGCAGATCCAACATGTACAAGCGATGTTGAATCACACCCTCCCGTCCCAGACCTCCTCCCCGCATGTCCCTACAAGGGACTCCGACTGCATGCGCGAAGCGCCCCCTCTTGAGAGAGGAAGGTGGCACACAAGCCTTGAGGAGCAACCTTTCCCTGGTAAGTTTTGCTCCCGCCCAGGATCCTGAGCCTGGAGGGAAGAGCTGCTTGTAAGGAAGAGCTGTGGGGGCGGAGGAGGAGGAGGAAGAGGAGAGGAGGAGGAGTCCTCCTCCTCCTCCTCCTCCGACTCCTCCCCCTCCTCCCCCTCCTCCCCTCCTCATCTCTCATATTCCCTCTCTCAGCTCCTCCTCCTAATCCTCTCCCTCCTCCTCCTCCTCCTCCTCCTCCTCCTCCACCTCCTCCTCCTCTCCTCCTTCTCCTCCTCCTCTTCCTGGTTTGGTCTTCGTTTCCTTTTTCACGCTCCGCCTGGTTTGGTGTTTCTTGCGTGGTTCAAAAAGTTGCTCAAGTTTAGGCTGATGGTCCTAAGATGTGGAGAAGTCTCAGGCGAGCGCCCCAGAATTCGAGGAATCTGGTCAAGGAAATAACAGGCGATGGCCCCCATTGAGAAGGAGCCGTGCTCAACCTGTGGAGTTGCTAGACTTGTGTTCATACAAATGCGCGCGGCGCCAGGGCGATATTCATAGTTTGAAGAAGGTTTGTCCTCTAGCCACGTAGCTGTTGGAAGTTTTAGGACGAGTGCGTGCGGCGCCAAGGCGAGAGCCCCATTTTGAAAACGACCCACCCTCAACCCCTTGTAGCGTCGAGATCGCAGGCTGTGAGGACGTCTCAGGAGAAACGCCCAGCCCGCTCGAACGGCGCGCCTGGAGGGACGAGCTGTGGGGGAGGAGAAGGAAGAGGAGGGGAGGAGGAGGAAGATGAGCAGGAGGAGGAGGAGGAGGAGGGGGAGGAGGAGAAGGAGGAAATGGGAAGGAGGAGGAGGAGGAGGAGGACTGTCAGACGCTATGCTTCCTTACGGTGTGAAAGGTCCCCTGGTGGTTTGGCCTGGCAGAAGCCTTGGAGCGCTTGTGGACATGATAGCGCGGCCACTTCGGCCCAGACGTGAGCGCGTTCGGGCTGCAACCCTTCGGGTGGGGCTGGGGACTGTCTTTGTAACCGGGCGGATGGCGACCGAATGGGTGACAGGGAGACCCGCTTCTCAGCAGGGCGGTTTCGCGGATTTCGGGGTTGACGGCCCGCAGCGAGCGAGGTTTGGAGTGCTCTGGCGTCGCGGTGGGATACGTGAATGATTCGGGAGGACGAGAAAAGGGAAGTGGGTGACAGCGCTCAGGAATTGGGAGGGTTCGGGCAGCGGGCCCAGCGGGCACAGTGCCCATCGCGGTCAGGCGCGCAACCACCACCCCAGGGCAAGCCCAAGGATTCCCCATGCAGGCCCCAGCCCCAGGGCCAACGTTAGGAGAAGATCTGGGCCACATTCGCGACGCTGGTGGACCCAGTGGGCCCCCACCCTCCCTCGCTTCCCCGACCCATTCAAGCCAGGGCCGCGCTGCTCGTGGTCGCACAGAGGAGGAGGAGGAGGAGGAGGAGGAGGAGGAGGAGGAGGATGCCAGAGCATTATTCTCGGCATTCCAACGCCACGCATGAACCTGATCGTTGCGTCTTGACGGTCCTGAATCGTGCCAGAACTTCATTCTTGGGACCTCAACTCCGCGAATAATCGTAACTGCTGCGCCCTCAAAATCGTGCACTCTTCCAAAACACCATTCCTGGTACGTCGATCATGGGAACCCATGAAACTCTTGCAATGTTGTATCAAGAATGTGCGCGGCGCTAAGGCGAGAGCCACATTTTGACAACGACCCGCCCTCAATCCGTAAAACTCTTGAATGTTGGTTAAACGACTGCGCGCGGCACTCAGGCGAGAGCCACATTTTGAAAACGACTCGCCCTCAATCCGTGACACTCTTGCATTTGTACAACGAATGTGCGCGGCGCTGAGGCGAGAGCTACATTCTGAAAACGACCCGCCCTCAATCCGTGAAACTCTTGCAATGTTTTAAACGAATGCGCGCGGCGCCAAGGCGAGAGCCATATTTTGAAAACCACCCGCCCTCCATCTGTGAAGCTTGCCAACGTTTAAGCTCCAGGGTCATAAATAGTGAGGAAGCCTCAGGCGAAACACCCGGCCCGCCCTAAAAACTGGGCTCGGGGTGCGACAGGGAGGAGTTAGTTAGGAGAAAGAGTGGAGGAGGAAAAGGAGGAGGAAGAGGGAGAGGAGGAGGAGGAAGAGGTGGAGGAGGAGAACGAGGAGGAGGAGGAGGAGGAGAGGAAGAAAGGAGGCGAGAGGAGAGAGGCAAGTTAGGTGCGCTCGCGTCAGATCTGACGTCATACCCCTCCTCCCATTCCTTACCATGGCGTAGATACCCCCTCTATTCGCACAGTCGGACGTCGAGCAGGGCAATGATAGCGAGAGGGTACGCGATGTATGGTAGAGCACGGCAAGGCATGGCGTAGAAGAGCACGGCAGAGCGTAGCATGCCATATCATGGCGTGGCATTGCGCAGTGAAGCATTGCATCTCAAAGCATTGCAACGCAAAGCATGGCATCGCACAGCGGCGCAGACCACAACACCAAACAGCATGTCATGGCATGGCGCCAGGTTCCTTGGAGGGTAAGAGGATCGTCTTCGAGAGGCCTGGACCGGTCTGGAGTCGTGGTTCCATGTCTAGCTCCTTGGGCTCCCTGAAAAGCTCCACACAGAGCGGGGCTGATGGAGAGCACCCGCTGGCTCTGCTGCTTTCAACGCCGCCTTCTCAAAGCCAAAACAGGGTTCCCGCTTTACTTCCTGAAAACGACGACGCCCCAACGAATCGACACCACATGTGTAATCACTTCCGATGGTTTTTTCGGGTTGCATTTTTTATACCTATACGACCACCCTTCGGGTGATAAGGAGGTTCGGGGGGGGGGAACCAACGTCCCACTCGATCGGTCTCACTATCGATCTTACTATCGATCTCGCTATCGGTCTCGCTCGATCGATCTCACTCGATCGATTTCACAATCGATATCATTCGATCTATTTCATTTGATCGATCTCACAAACGATATGATTATTGCATTCTTAATCGATTTCACTATTGATTTCATTGCCGATCTCACAATCTATCTCACATCCGGTATCACGATCGATATCAAATCAATATCACAATCATCGTCACCATCATCATCGACATCATCGTTATCAGCGTCATCAACAGAACCATCATCATCACCATCGGGACACCATCACCATCACCTCATCACCAACACCATCAACATCATCATCATCATCATAACCATCATCCTCATGGGACACCATTATTGTCACCATCATTATTATTAACATCATCATCGGGACACCATCATCATAATCGGAACACCATCATCATCACCATCATCATCATCATATCATCACCATCATGAACAACATCGTCAACATCATCATCATCGTGTCACCATCATCACCATTATTTGTAACATCATCATGAACATCATCATCATCATCGGGACACCACCATCATCGCTACCATCATCATTATCATCGGGACACGATGGTCATCACCAACATTAGCATCACCATCGTCGGGCCACCATCATCAAACCACCATCACCTCATCATCATCCTCATTATCAACATCATCACCATCATCGAACACCACCATCGTCATCATCATCATCATCGTCAACATCATCATTGGGACACCATCATCATCATTACCGTCATGATCATCAACAGCAGCATCATCAACCTCATCATCATCACCGGGACACCATCATCATCATGTTCATCATCATCTCCTCATCACCCCATCATCAGCAACATCATCATCATCAACATCATCATCATCGGGACACCATCATCATCGTCACCACCATCATCATCATCAGTACCGTCGTCATCATCACCATCATCACCGGGACACCATCATCATCACCAACATCAGCATCATCATTGGGCCACCACCATCAAGGTCATCATCCTCACCTCATCATCATCCTCACCATCAACATCATCATCATCGGGACACCATCATCGTCAGTATCACCATCTTCAACATAATCATCATCGGGACACCATCATCATCACCATCATCATCAACAACAGCATCATCAACCTCATCATCATCATTATCAGCGGGACACCGTCATCATCACCACCACCATCATCTCATCATCGCATCATCAATCTCATCAGGATCATCAACCTCATCGTCATCATCGACATCATCGGGACACCATCTTCATCAGCATCATCAACATCATCATCATCATGAACACCATCATCATCACCACCATGGCCGTCATCATCAGCATCACCATCACCATCATCATTATCATCGTCATCATCATCATCATCATCAGCATCATCATCATCATCATCATCTTCGGGACACCGACGGGACACCGGCGGGACACCAGCGGGACACCGCGCGGCACCAGTCGCCGGAAAGGAGACCTTTGGTCCCGCCGCGCCTCAGCCAGAGGCGGGACATTTCTCGACCGCCCACGCAGCTTCGCCTCGCCCGCACGCAGTGCACGCACGAGCACGAAACCGAAACCGATTTCTCAGTAGGGGGGCTCTCCGTTCCACTTCGATCTCACCCCCTCACCTCCGATTTTGGTGTGTACTTGGAAGGACCGAAAGCGCCCGCGCTGCAGCGGGAGCACGATGTGGAACAACGAGAGGCGCAGAAATGGAGCCAGCGCTTCAGCGGGAGCAGCATTTTGAAAACAAGCGCAAGCGAAAACCCATTTCCTGGAAATCTTGCGTGTAAAAGGCCAGTACGCGGAGGGG